TGTAGGTATGTATATATAAAAGTAAGTAAAAAAACTACAATAGATTAATTAAAGTGTAAGTTATAAATATGTATATATAAAAAATTAAAATAAAAAATTAACATAGTATTTAAATATTTATATATATATGTATATGGGCAAAAACAATGTTACAATGCAAGTTTGAAAGCTTCTAGAAACGAAATTCACCTTAAAGAAAAAAATTAATTATAAAAAATTAATAATAAAATTTAATGGAAAAAAATCTACAAATTAAAGAAAATGAGGAAGGGAGTTTTGGTGGAAGATGATACAAATTTAAAATTTAGTTAACAAACTAATTTTACAATTACATATTTATATATAAAATATTTGAAGTTTTTTTTAAAGATTTTCTTGATTTTAACAAATTATGAGAATATTGTTTTTATTAATGTAATTAATTCTGAGGGGGTGTTTTAAAACTAACATTACTTCCATGGGATGGCAAATTCTTGAATTTTTTTTACAAATCTTTGTTTTTTTTCTTGTTTTTGTAAGAGAAAAAATATCCATTTTTTTAATTTAGGAGTTGTAAGCAAATATTTTTACAAAACATAAAATACCATTATTTTATATTGGGTTGTGATATTGAAAATGTGGATTTGGATTTTAAATTTACATATTTTAGAAAAAGTTTTTTTTTATTATACACTATATACATATTCATTTTCACAGGAAATTAAATATACACATTTATTATTTAGTAGGATTTCTTTCAGATGGTTTTGGAAAATTAAATTATACAAGATTTTTTTTTACAATTTTTTTGTTTGAAATTTCTTCTTAATTGTTAAAAAAATTGAAAGAAATTAATTTCACCAATTTATTAACAACAACAAATTATTATTGTACAAAAAAATGTTAAAATTATAATATTCATAATATACAAGAGATCTTTTTTTATTTAAAAATATGTATACATGTTGTTTGTTGGTGTTGTTTTTTTATTTTTATTAATAAATTTTTAAAATGGATTTTCTACTCAATAAGAATCCTAGATTCCAAATTACAGTCATTTCAGATGAAAAACATGCCAAAAATCCATAAAATTCCGAATATTTGGTGGTACCGTTATATGGGGCCTATCGTAAAAAAGTTGACCAATATTGATCATTTTTGGTAGGAGGCTGTGTAACCCAATGAGTACCAAAAATTCCAAATTACAGCCATTTCGGTTGAAAAACATGCCAAAAATCCCTAAAATTTCAAATATTTGGGGGTACCGTTACGTGGGGGCTATCGTCAAAAATCGATAAATATTGATAATTTTTGGTAGGAGACTGTGTAACCCAATGAGTACCCAAAATTCCAAACTACAGCCATTTCGGATGAAAAACATGCCAAAAATCCCTAAAATACCGAATATTTGGGGGGTACCGTTATATGGGAGCTATCGTAAAAAGTCACTCAATATAGAAAATTTTTCCACGAAAAATTTAATACCCAATGATTATCCAAAATACCAATTTACAGTTGATTAGGTTGAAACACGAGCTGAAACTACCCGAATTATCGAAATTTGGAATTTGGCGTTATATGGAGGCAACCCATGAAAGTGGACCAATATTGATAATTTTCGCTAGGGAGATTTTCTATCCAGTAAGAAGCGAAAATACCAAATTACAGCCAATTCAAATAAATAACATGCATCGTTTTTTGGTATTTTTTGGGTAATTTGTCAAAGATTTTCCCGTTTGTTTTACATTGTAGGAAGCCTTGTGATCCTTAAATGAAGATCCTCTTTTGCAATATTACTCATAACATTATGTGGAACATTTTTCTGGAACTAGCTAGCCCTCTAGCAAGTCGTTTAAGGGGACCCCCCCCATTCTCGGGGTCAAAATTTTTGTTGACTTAATTCCAATCTACACTAATTCAAGAATGTCCCTGCAAAATTTCAAGTAAAAATCTCAAGAACTCTTGAAGATATAGCCGATTTATTGTGTCAGCATCAAGTGACGGCTGAAGGGCTTCTCAAACTTTAAACGCGTTTTTCTCTAAACATTTTTTTGCGAATGGCGGGCACGATAACTCAAAAACTAATAACCCAATCGATTTCAAATTTTTACACGTTTCTCTGTGAGTGTATAGCTATCGTATGAACTAGGATAAAGCCAATCGGTGAAGATCTTCCTTATTTTTTAACTTGGTTGTTGGTAAAAAATCGGCGATTTTCCAAAAATATTTTTTCAAAGTTCCGCCATTTTGTTAATTTTAGAGCGAAGTCAATAATCCTAGTTCATACGAGAGCCAGACATGTACTCTTTCTAACACCGTTGGAATTTTCGGATTCCGATGTTCCAGTGAGGAGTTATCATGCCCGCCATCAAAAATAAGGACTTTTCTTTGATCACAAAAAACAACAACAAAACAACAACAAAAATTTTTTGTAAATTATTTTTCTTCTTTTTTAAATCTTCAAATATATATGTGCGAAGTTACAAACCTTAACAAGCATTGGTATTCATTTACCAGCCCATTTAAAATCTTAAAAATAAAAAATCGAGAATGGGGGGGGTTCCCTTAAGAGCATTTTTTGGCCTACTTTTCAAATATTTCCCATTGTTTTTTTGGGCATTTTGACAATATATTCCCAAAAATGTTAAATTTTTGGTACAACAACATTATTTTTGGGCCTGGGACTGTCAATGAAAACTATATTCTCCATTAATTTTTACTATAAGTCTTCGAATACAAGAAAAATATAGAAAAAATATTGATTTTAATTGAGATTAAAAAACACAGTTTGGGGAAAATTTGGGTATTTTTCATTTTGGTCGGATTTCATTAGGAAATCGTAGTGTTTCAGACTTGTGACCCATAAGAAATTTACTCTAGACAAAATTTGACGAAAGTCCACCAACAATATAAATCTCTAACTATAATATATATGAGAGAAATCTTGATCTTCGGAGGGCGATTCAAATCCTGACTTCTCGTTTATTTCTTTTAGACGGAAAAAATATTAAAAACTTTTCTGATGTAATTTGAATTTCTCATATGAAGCATGAAAGTGTTGAATTTTTGGATTGTTGTCAGCATCATTTAGGACAGTAGAATGGCTTGGATTAATAAAAAATATTTTTTCAAGGACAATAGAAGGACGTCGAGTTAAAAAAATATTTTTTCAAGGACAGTAGAAGGTTTTTTTTTAAGGACAATAGAAAGGTGAGGATTTTGAAAATATATTTTTTTAAATATATTGTTCAAGGACAATAAAAAGGCGTCGATTTAAAATAATATTTTTTGAGGACAGTAAAAGGGCTTGGATTTTTAAAATATATTTTTTTCATGGGCTACTGAAAGGATGGAATTTTTTAAATATTTTTTTTATGTGTAACTTATTAATTTTCAATTTTTCTTTTTCATTACAACTCCTGTAAAAAAACAAGTGAATTTTCTTTCACTCTTTTTAACAAAGACTTAAAATTAATATGGAAGTAATATTAGTTCGAATTTCTATTTCTGCTGGGGTGTGTATTGTTTGTTAATTACAAATTTCTTAAATATTTTACAATTTTAAGGGGTTGGTTTTTTATGTGGTTTCAATATTATTAGTATTATTATTATGATCATAAAGCTTGTGTGATTTTTTTTCAAATTTTCTTTTGTAAATAAAAGCGCCTAAACGCATGACATTACTCTTTCGCTTAGGGGTTTTTTGGCCTTATGATTTAGACTTATAAAAAATAATATTATTATTATTAATTATTAAAAATTAAATAAACAATGGTTAAAAAAGTGGTAATTAATTTGTGTGTGTGTAATTTTAAAGTTTTTCAAAATTTCTTGTTTTTTTTTAATTTTTTTTTTTCAAAAAACAAATCTCTTATGGGTTTCTTTTGGTTTAATTATGAGATTTAAATAGAATATTTTCTAGCATAATTTATTTAATAATAGGAAACAAATGTAGTTTTTAAAAAAATCATAATTTAACTTATTTATTTTTTTTTAATATAAAAAAAGAAATATTTTATTTTTTTAAATTTTTCAATACTTTTGTTTTTTATTTTACTTTTGCTAAATTAATAATTAAAATTCCTTATTATTTTTTTTTTATTTTAATATTTTGGAAAAAAATCTATTTTTAAAAATTACGTGTTTCATTTGTTGTTTTTTTTTTCACTAATAAATGTTTAAGGTACCATTGCTTAATCATTGTTTTATTTTTTATTATTATTTTATATATATTTTTTTAAACTTCATGTTTTGGTTTTAGTGTGTGTGTTTTTTTTTAATTTAATTTAGAAATGTTTAGCATTTGTTTTTTTGTTGTTGTTTAAACATATAATATTTTGTTTGTCACAGTCTCCTCTGGTTAGTTCTAAAATGTATTTTAAAATAAGATTTTGTTGTATTTAACTTAGGTTGTTGTTTTTTTAGTTTTATGCATATACATAGTTTACATTTATATTTTATAATAATTAAATTTTCCCATAATTTTTTTTATAAGAGAGTTTTTTGTTGTTGTTTTTTAATTATATTCACATTTATCACGTTTACTTTACATTATTATTAATATTTATATAATATATAATTTGTTTTGTTTATTTATAAATATGATGTTCACTTATTTGTTGTTGGTTTCTTTGTTTCTAAATTGTTGTTGTTTTTTAAGTAATATTGTTTGTTGACTTATACGAAATTTTGTTGTTTTTTTTCATGTTTTTTTCTTTCAGTATTTAAGTAAAAAATATCTCCATTTTCTTTTTCTAATAATAATTGTTATTGTAATAACGAAAATATATTCTATATGTATATTTATATATATGTAAAAAAACAGACAGACTTTAAGCCATTGGACTGTTTTGGATTTTTTGTTAATTAGTATTGTTTGTTGTTTTTTATTTAATTTTTTTTAGAAAAAGCTGCATTCTTTTTTTAATTTATCATCATTGTTGCTGTTTTGTTTGTCTCAGAAGTCTGTTCTGGTCTGTAGTACTGTGGTGTAGAGTTACTTGGGTTGTTGTTGTTGCTGATTTTTGTTGTTGCTATAATATTAACTTAATTTATGAGGTCAATGGTGACATACCAATTTGACGGGGATCTGTTGGTGGTACGGCACCCAATTCCAAATTTTTGATTAACAATTGCAACCAGTGTTTGGTTGACTTATCGTCTTGCAGACAAACGGAAAATGTGGCATCACGTAATTGATCTGGAAGACATTGTCGTAAAGCCTCTCGTGCTCTGTAAAAAGAAAGAAGAGAGAAAAAAATAACAACAATTAATAAAATCACAATTAAAATATGTACAATAAATTAAAAAAAAAATATTTAGAGAGTATTGAAAAAAATATATATCTTTTCAAAGCGTAGATTTTTTCAAAAAAAAATATTTTTAAAGGACAATCAGTACGTGCATTGTTCTAAGTATATATTTTTAGGACAGAGGGGGGATCTTTAAAAAATATATTTTTTTAAGGACTAAAAAATGCTGGGATTTTTGAAATATATTTTTTCAAGGACTATAGAAAGGCTTGGATTTTAAAATATATTTTTCAAGGGCAGAAAAAAGGTGTCGATTTAAAAAAAATTATATGTTTTTGAGGACATTAGAAAGGCCTCGATTTAAAAATACATTTTTTTTTGAGGGCAATAGAAGAGCTGGGATTTTTAAATATATTTTTCAAGGACTCTAGAAATTCGTGGATTTTTAAAATATATTTTTTGAGGACAGTAGAAGGGCGTCGAGTTAAACAATTTTTTTGGAGGACAGTAGAAAGACTTGGATTTTTAAAATATATTTTTTCAAGGACAGTAGAAAGGTCTTGATTTAAAAATACAATTTTTTGAGAACAGTAGAAGGGATGGGAGTTTTAAAATATATTTTTCAAGGACAATAGAAGGGCTTGGATTTTTAAAATATATTTTTTGAGGAGAGTAGAAGGGTTTAGATTTTTAAAATATATTTTTTGAGGACAGTAGCAGGGTGTCGAGTTAAAATTTTTTTTTTTTTTGAGGACAGTAGAACGGATTGGATTTTTAAAATATATATTTTTTGTGGACAGTAGAATGGCTCCGAGTTAAAAAATATTTTTTGAGGACAGTAGAAAGGATTGGATTTTTAAAAATACAATTTCAAGGACAATAGAAGGGCTTGGATTTTTAAAATATATTTTTTGAGGACAGTAGAAGCCGAGTTTAAAAAAATATTTTTGAGGACAGTAGAAGGGCTTGAATTTTTAATATATATTTTTCTAGGACAGCAAAAAATCATCGATTTAAAAAAAAATATATATTTTTTTAAGACAGTAGAAATTTGTTTCAAGGATAAGGATTTTTTACATAAATATATATATTTTTTTCAATTTATCCAAGCTCTTCTTTGAGGACAGTAGAAGAGCTTGGATTTTTAAAATGGAATTTTTCAAGAATAACAGAAAGGGGTCGAATTTTTTAAATAGATTGATTTAAAAAATATGTTCTTGAAGTATTAAATAAACCCGTCGATCCAAAAAAAAATTGTGTTCGGCGACAGTAGAAAGGCAGGAACTTTTAAAATATATATTTTCGGGAACATTATAAAAGCGTGGATTTTTAAAACATTATTTTTTCAAGGGCCTGGATTTTTTTAATATATGTTTGAAGGACAATACTTATACATAGTCATTCTCCTTTCCGGAGGACTTTCAAAGCTGTTAGTGAAGATTTTTAAATTAAATTTTTGGGGGACTATAAAAGGTATTTTTCGGGGGGACTATTTGAGGTATACGCATATTTTTCCGATGACTACCATAGGTATAAACGTGGATTTCAAAATAATATTTTCGGGGCAATTTAGGAGGTGTAAATGGGAATTTTTTCTTATTATGATATTTTTTTCGGGGCAATTTAGGAGGTGTAAATGGGAATTTTTATGATATTTTTCAGAGGACTTTTTAAGCTATAAGAAGGAGTTTTTTTCTGGGGACTGTGTGAGATATTTCTAACTAAAAATTCATCTTACCTTGGATTGTCGGATAATCTTAAATAACAACGAACAACATGTTTAAGCAAACGTGCCGATGGCTCCTTTGCCAATTGTATCACCATTTTACCCTGTTGTGGAAAAAGAAAGGAAAATGTTTAAAAATTAGTTATTGAAAATATATTTTAAATAAAGACAAAGGTGAAGTTATAAAAAGAAATTTTTTTATATCGATTAATAAAGGAAAGGTTGAGTATATTGTTTAAAAACCTTTGCCTTGCGGGGATTTTTAAAGAATATTTTCTAAGGTTAGTGTTGGGATTTTTAATTAACATTTTTTGGGGACGACTATCAGTGGTATCATAGGGTATTTTTAAAATAATATTTTTCTGGGGACTATCAGAGGTATAAATGGGGATTTTTAAATAATATTTTTCAGAGGACTATCAGAGATATAAATGGCGATTTTTAAATAATATTTTTCAGAGGACTATCAGAGATATAAATGACGATTTTTAAATAATATTTTTCGAGGGGTTTTTAAATATTTTAGACTGGAATTTTAAATAATTTTTTGGGGGATTATCAGTGGTATTAGAGTGTTTTTTTTTTAAATATGTTTCAGAGCACTATCAGAATTACAAGGGGGTATTTTTAAATAATATTTTTCAAGGGCTATCAATGGTATCATAGGGTTTTTTAAATAATATTTTTCTGGGGACTATCAGAGGTAAAAGTGGGGGATTTTAAATTAGAGAGAGGTATTAGAGGGAATTTTTAAATACTTTTTTCTGGGGACTTTCAGAAGTATAAATGGGGATTTGTAAATAATATTTTTAGAGGTCTATTTTTAAATAATATATTTCAGTCAGAAGTGGCCCCTTGATTGATCTAAAATTCATTATATGAATTAATAGTTTCTATTATTAATTGATTTCTAGCTTCATTATAACCCTGCTCATGTTTTCGAGAATATTTGAAATATATGTGTGTGCGTGTGTGTTTCGAACTACTCACCAAAATAATAGCTACATGTGAAAATCGTTCATATGTCTGACAGACATACGATAGACCACTTTCGTCGAGCAGTATCTTCTGTAGAATAAATGTTGCCACAGTTTTGCTTAGCTCTGAGCCAAATTCCATAATGCGTAGGCATAGGGGAATGATTTCCGAAGTTAAGAGGAAGGTTATCACTTCTTGTTCATCAGTCTGTAATGAAAAAACAAAAAATTAATTTTATATTTTTATATAACAAAGTAAAAAAAGTGTAACCCACCTTAACAAGCGCCCCAATAACACCCAAACTTGTTAAACGCAAATATTCGAATGGTCGCGTCTTTGATGTCGTCTGCAAAAACGGATATAGGAACAGGGGAATTTGTGCTTGCAAAAATACGGTACGCGTATCCGGATGTGAGGCAACACATTGCAACAGTGCCAAGGCATTACACACCCGATTCGATTGATGAGCAGTTAATGTGGCAGGATTTATTGAGGGATAAATGTTGATAATTTCTTGTAGGAGGGCAGCTATTGTACCAAAACTATGCCATAGCATTGGTGCTAAATCTGTAACTGTTTCACGTTTTTTGCTCAATTCCAGCAGAGCAGCTTCGCGGGTTTCGGGATGGGCTAATTCATTGATCCATTGGAATACCTAGAAAGAATAAGGAAAGAAAAAAATAATAAATTAAGGAAAAATATATATAAATAATGAAAGGCCAAGGAGAACCATCAGAGCTATAAAGTTAAAATTTGAAATCAGTTGAAAAGGCTTTTAGACCCTTAAACGTTGGTTTTTAGACTTTAAGACCTTTAAATATGATATTTTTAATAATTATTTTCCAAGGACTATCAGAGCTATAATTTTGGGTTTTAAAATAAGTTTTGGGGATCCAAACGAGATATAATTTGGGATTTTTGTAAACAAAATTTTTCGAAGGACTTTCAAGCAATAAGTGTGGGTTTTTAAATAATAAATTCAGAGGACTTTCAAAGGTATGTCTGGAGATTTTAAAATAATATTTTTTGGAGGACTTTCAAAGCTACAAGGGGGGTTTTTAGTAATAAAATAGTATTTGTCGGCTGGTCTAACGAAGGAAGACTTTCAAAGCTATATCTGGGGATTTTCAACAAAAATTTTCTGGGGACTTTCAAAGCTATATGTGGCAATTTAAATTTTTTTATTGGATTATCAAAGCTATAAGTAAGGAGTTTTTTAATTAATATTTTTTTACTGGGGACTATCAAAAACAAATTGGGATTTTTAAATAATATGTTTTTGGCCTGGAGTGACTATCAGAGGTATAAATTGGGATTTTCAAATAATAATTTTCTAGAAATTACCAGAGGTACCAGTTGAATTTTAAAATAATATATTTCTGGGCGCTATCAGAGGTATAAGTGGAGATTTCCAAATAATATCAATCGAGGGGGACTATTAGACATTTCAGCCTTAAATATTAAATAACATTTTCAAGGCAATATCAGAGGCTTTATTGAGGATTTTCACATAATAATTTTTGGGAGGACTTTCAAACATATCAGTGGAGAATTCAATATAATATTTTTCGGGGGACTATCAGAGTTATAACAGAATTATAAGCGTGGATTTTTGAATACAATTTCTCTGGGTACTATAGGAAGTAAAAAAATGGGATTTTTAAACAATATATTTCGGAGGGACTATCAGAGTTATAAATTGGTATTTTTATATAATAATTTTCGGGGGACTGAGGGAGATATAATTGGGAATATGTAAAAAATATTTGTCGGATCAGAAGTATAGAATAGAGTTTTAAAATAAGATTTTTTTGGAGGACTATCAGAGGTATAAATGGAGACTTCAATTTGTAAAGATATGTTCCCAGAAGACATTTTTTCCACACAGACCAATTTTGTGCCTTCAAAAGAATTACGACTTTCCACCCCATTGTATGGAATTCCCCATATAATAATATCAGTTAATCCCCTCGAGACCTCATACCTTCTCCCCTTCACTCCCCCAACTCATTAAACTGCACGTGCGTTCATTCCTATAGACGCAGCAACCACACTAAAATATGTGTTTACATTTTCAAAAATATAAAAAAAAAATTAAATAAAATTTTTTGCTGATAAATATTTATTGAATCAAAAAAATTGTTTTTATATGCATATATGAAATGCAAACAAACCTCACACCACAAAATGACGCTGATAAAAAAAACCAAAAAAAAAAAATTGAAAAAAACGTAAAACAATCACAACAACAAAAACGATACCACCAATATTACTATGAAAAAATAATATTAATACAAGCAATTATTTCAAAATTGGTGCTACGGCTGCAGCATAGGGTGGTAAAATGTGCAAGCCGCCCCCTTCATACGAGAACATATGCATATTAAGGTCGGTAAATAAACAATTATTTTACTAAGAAAACCAGATTTTACTAAAAACCAAATTTGGCTCTTAGTTCTAAAAATATTCAAAACCTGGTATTAAAAAAAAAAAAACAAAAGAACTACAAATTAGTATTAAAAAAAATAATTTTGCCCATAGACCAACCGAGTGTTAGGTGTAACATTTTTATGAATATTTTTTTTTCCAGAGACCAACAGAGAGATCACATTCAGAGACTTAATCAAAATCTGAACTATTATTAAATTCTTTCAACTTAAAAAAATGCAAGAAACGAATGAGGACCACCCTAATGTGTGTACAAGTATGTGCATTATTACTTTTTATTATTATTATTATTATTATAATGAAATGCGCATTTCTCCCATATTATAACGATTCGATAATAATAGCAGACAAAAAAAACAGAACCACAAAAATGAAAATACACACATTTTCATGGGTTTGTGTGTGTTTGGATGGCAAGGAATTCCAATTTGGAAAACAAAATACAGGACAGATGATAAACACAGAGTATATGACTTGATTGTCATTTATGTATACAACAGCAACAAAACAACAATATTTTTTGTAAATAAAAAAATGCAATGACACGTTTAACGCAAAAAAATAATTTTTTACATTTTTTTTTTTTTTCAAAATAAAAAGTTAATTTTTTTTGGCGACAAAAATATTCTCAGCCTAAAAAAATTTGAATGTAGAATCACGTAGAGATTTTTTTCGAATATACATTTTTTACGATTTTTTCAGATACAAAGAATATTTGATCCAGGTCTATACGTGTGAATTTTTATTGGATATCCAGGATTTTTTAGGATTTTTTTTAAGAATAGATTTTTAAAGAATTTCTTTCCGAAAGAAATCAGTATCAATATTGTTCAAGCTATAATTATTGAAAAAAAAAATAGAATAGAATATCAAAAGTTTTCATCACTACTAGAATTTTTTAGTAATGATACTGAAACTTTTGAATGAATGACCCTGAGAAAAAAATTGCTTTCTGCTCGTGATGGAAATTACTTTTCAGATAGCCTACTCTTTGTCCGTCCAGTAATGTGGGATGTTTCTACACCCCACGCTCGCACACTGTATGCATTTAAATTGTACTGTGCCAAAAATAAATGAAAATAATAATAATGACCTGCCATCAATCAGCGATGATAAAAAATATATAGGAAGGAAATGTGAAACGTGTGAAAATGTCAAATTTAATTAACACATTTTTTTCGGAATTAGAATTCAACATAAGAACAAAAAATTAAAAAAATCGCCCTTGAAAACAATATTTTTTTAATAAATCCACGCCTTGGATAACCCTAAAAAAATATAATTACGTGTGCGTATAGCCAACCAGCCCAATTTATTATATATTTTGGAAGCTTATGGAAGTATTTGTGTTCTACCCGTTACAGAGCTCTTCAAAATATTTTTGAAAATTTGTTTTCTCCAAATCCCGTCAATTTTTAAAAAAAAACCCCTTTCCCACGAATTTGTTTAGAACAAGAATTAAATTTATTTCGAATTGTTTTCACACAACTACTTGAGAGATTCTTGTGAAAGTCGGTACTAATCACCATAACATCTTAAGTGTCGGACTTGCCTGCCTTCCTGATCGATCGACCGATCCGAACCCTTCTTCCAAGTAATTAGCTAAACCGAAATGAAAACACATTTATCAAATCTTCTGCCTAATTGTGGTTTGTATTTTACAACCCTCTAAACAATATTTTTGGTTACAACTGTCGCTAGTTGGAATGAAAATTTGAGGTTCTACCTCCCTTTTTCTTTTTTCCCACTTCTTCTTCATTCGGTTGGCATGCCCTTTAGCCAACCAAAAGAGGAAAGAAGTACATTTTTTCATGCCTCAACGAAATTTTTCTATGCAGAAGAAGTGTGAGGAGGAGGAGGGATTAGGGGAGAAAAGAAAGAGAAATATGATCGTTTAACATCTGCCGTTGAGTGGTTCGGCAAAAACAAACATCCAAACAACCAAGCGGTTCATTGTTTCACAGCATGTTGCAGAAATTAATGTAGGCTGCTTGTTTGTTGTTGCATTGCATGAGATGTGTATATTCAGTTAGGCATTCTTTCATTCCATTCTTCCATGCCACCATCCATCCATCGGTATGTAGGTCGATCGTCATATATTGTTTATGATGGTGGGTAAAAGCATCTCTCTCTTGAAAAGAAATGAAATGCATCCATTTTGGTTTTGTCTTCTTCTTCTTTGTTTCACTTAGGCCATCCAACGCCAAACAAATCTAAACAATAGATAATAATCAACGAGACGGATGGATCGGATCGTTCGATCTTTCAACAAAATGGATTATGAAAACGAAGCGGATTATATTCCCATGTGTTGTTGTTATTTTTTTACCTGTTCCAATTGTTTTTTTTAGCGAAATGTGTTCTGGCTGCCAACAATTTGTCCACATTTTCCACAACTTGTCATGACATATCATTAAATAAGAAGAAGCATTGTTTATGTTAGCCAGACAGCTGAGCATGGTTATGCTTCTTCTTTGTAATTTTCTTTTATTGCAAATAAGTTTGGCGGCAATGGACAGACGATTTTTAAGTGATTAAAGATAATTAGAGAATTTTATTAATTAAATGAAAGAAAATTAAAAATGAAAAATAAACAAAAATTAGCAAAAGAATTTATAAAATATGTACTAGTGTGGTTTTGTTTAGTATTGTGGTGACATGTGTCCATATATCAAACAACGTGTCTCATGTAATAAGAAGAAGCATTTGTTATTTTAACAGTCAGCTGAGCATGGTTATGCTTCTTCTTATTTTTCTTTATGAGAAATAATTTTGGCGGCAAGTGATTAAAGGAAATTATAGAATTTAATTAATTAAATGAAAGAAAATTGAAAAAAGTAGGAAAAGAAATTATAATATATATACTAGTGTGGCGCTGTGTCTATATCCTGCAGGAACTATGTGTCCTCCATATTTCAAACAACTTGTCTACATATCATGTAATAAGAAGAAGCATTTGTTATGTTAATCAGCCAACTGAGCATGGTTATGCTTATTATTTTTATTTTATTAGAAATTGCTTTGGCGGCGGAAGACAGAATTTTTGTGTAAAAACGTGATGTTAAATAAATAATTAAAGGTAATTGGATAACTATTTGGTGAATTGGTGAAAAAAGATTATAAAAGATTTACAAGTGACATATGTCACACCTTGTGTCTATATCTACAAACTACTGACTGTGTCACTAGTTCATATTCACAATGATT